CTTACATGGTTTCAATTTTACATTTACATTTCTGTATATTTTTTATCCTAGTGTTTACACTGAAAATGCATATGATTTTATCTTTTGCTGTTGGGCTCTTCAATGATCTCAAATCTCTGTATAAATAAGTTTATTTCCCTCCACCGATTTGATGTGTTGCCTATATTGTATTTCAATTTCTGTCTTCAGTTGCCTCTGGGATTTCTATTTGGTTCCATTGAGCTCTTTGTGGTCAGGGTAACACAGTCTGAATTACAGAGGCATTAGAAGTTATTTTAAAACTACCCAGGCTTATCCATTACCCTTGTCTTTCAGAGTTTTCCTGGCTAGTTACTGCTTACTTGTTTTTCCAAGTAAACTTTATAACTAATTTATTTAGCTCCACCACAAAACCCAATCAACATAATAATGTTGAATCTTCACATCTAAGAACATGGCGTGTCTTCCATGTGTACAATTCTATTTTTGTGTCTTTGTGGTATTCTATAATTTTCCTTATAAATGCTTTGGATGCTTCCTATGAAGTTTTTGCCTAGGCTCTATCTATTTATCTATGTCATGAATATATTTCCTTATGTTGCACTGAGAAAAAAAATCACACAAATGAGCAATGCCCACTACAAAATTTATGCTTCCATTCTTTCCTGTAGAAAAAGTTAAAATACCTAGCACATTTGCAATAAGTAAAGAGGTGTGAGCAGCCACGCCCTCTAGTGTAAGTAAATAGATTTCCCACTCGAACACAAATGTAGCTTATAGAGTACATTAAGTATTAGAAGACATTTTCCAATAAGTTGTGGCCAAAAATTGAGACTATGATTGCAGATTAATGCATCAATGGACATTTCAAACTATTATCAGTTGATTTAAGTCTATTTCATAATAAAGCAAATGACATTGCTGATGTGGTCATGGCAGGTAAAGACTTGCTTAAGATTATACAACTAAAGGGGCACCTGAGTGGCTCAGTCAGTCAAGCATCAGACTCTTGATTTTGGCTCAGGTCATGATCTCAGGGTCATGAGGTCGAGCCCCATGCTGGGCTCTGCACTGGGTGTGGAGATTGCTTAAGATTCTCTCTCCCTCTCCCTCTGGCCCTCCCCTACTGCTCACAGACCTTCTCTCTCTCTCTCTCTCTTTCTAAAAAAAAAAAAAAAAATCCTTTTGAAGTGTAGTCACACAGTTTAGGAACTGGTAGATTTCAGGATGGGAAAGAAGGCCGTGTGGCCCCAAAATCATCAGCTGCTCCTGAACGTATGGAAGCGATTCCAGAGGGTGTAAATTCAGTTAACGTAATTCTTGAATCCTCCTGATTGTGTTGACAGTACAGAGAAGTAGGAACTAAAAGACCCCACAGCTTCTAAATGTAGAATGGGCAGGGAAACGGGAAGCCATACACAGCTTCGTGCATCTGTTAGACTGAACATACAAAAACCAAACAACTAAACTAATGTACAGTCCTATTTCCTAGAAGGTCCTATGAAGCAGTGAGTAGCCCACCTGGTTAGCAAGAAGCACCTGTGGGGTTGGTACTCACGTTTGAGCCCTTTCCCAAAGCAGACTGTGAGGTGTCCTCATCACTGTCCAACCCGGACCGCCCGATCTGCTCTGCCTGGAACACAGACACACCGCACGTTATCTCCAGGTCAAAGCAAGACCAAACAAAAAGTCATCCTCGGCGATTATTACAATACAGAACCAGCGTGGTCTTCAAGGCAGCAGGCTCTGCACTGGGTGGTTGTAATCCACGGCCACACCCCTCAGGGCAGGAACCCTAAAGTCCCGAACCAAAGTGCTCACTGATCTGAAAACCAGTTTTGAAATCCATAACTCAAGGGAGGGGTTTTCCTTTTGCTTTTTCCCAAAAGCATATCTTTAGCTTAGAAAATATATAACATGAAAACAGTAGTTTCATGAGTCTGAGCTGATGGAATTTGCTCAAAAAGCCAATTCATTGACTAGTTTTGGGGGGATTTCTGAGTTTTAAATTCGGTTTACCACTGTGCTGCTCATTGAGTATATACAGAAATAAATCACCAAATATCTCACTGTCCATAAAAGATAAACAGTAATGACATCTTACTTCATTCTTCAAGAGGACATTTTGCATGACAGCGTGCTGGCCACCAGCTACAGAATCACCAGGTGCAACTGGGCTGCCAACCTGACCTCCCAACATGAGAATCTTTGGGCAGATGACCCCAGGATCCCATTATTAGCCTAGGTCTTAGGGTGATTCTTAGGTACTTTTTCAAAACCTCTGGGTTAGGGGAAAAAATAATGTCAAAATTGTACAAAATTATCGTGTTTTGAAAACAGTAAAATAACAAAGTTTTAAAACAAGGAAAGATACATGCCCTCATCTACTTCAGCCAAAATGATATCCCTCAAATATATCCTCTGTTGAGATCTTACACACACACACACACACACACACACACGTATACATTTTTTGCTTTAAGCAGATATTGTAAAGACCTCCTTTAGCTTTAATCACCTTGATATTTCTCCGTTCTTAGCGTTCTGTCCTCTTGAGACATTTGTGGACTATCTGACATCGTAAGATTTTAGAAACCATGTAAATAATGATTTCCTCCAAACCCTCATTAGTGCATGAAAGTGGAGTTCTGGATGTGTCAAGCATTACAGTGTGAATGGGTGAGGAAGAGCCAGGGCTCGGGAAAGACAGGCTGGTTTGACCTCGGACAGCCACTGGCCCGAGGGTCAGCTCAGGGGGACGCAGCCTTCTTTCCTGCACCTGTGAAATGAGGTGGGTAGCACCTCTCTGACCAGGCTTCTGGAAGATGAAATGAAGTTGCATTTAGCACCTGAAACCGTGAAGCGAAGAAAACAAGGAATGAAGAAAAAACAACAAATAATCCGGTAAGGACATAACAACATAGGAGAAGTCTAGAGTACTTCTCTTCACTTCAGTTACATAAAGTAAGTGACAGGAAGAGAGGAGGTACATTAGAAAGGAAAAATAATCCAGCTGGCCAAGACGGAGCCGAGATGGCAAGACAGGAGTCCCTGCAGCCTGTGGCATTTTCCCAGGGTCCTCCTGGGGTGGTGTCCCTGAAGAACCCTCAGAAGGTGGGCAGTCTCTAATCTCCCACACCTTAGGCAATCTTATTTTACTTAAAACAAAAGCATTTCTCGATTTTTTTTTACTGGCTTTGCCTGCAGCTTCATCTCTCAAAAAGAGGAAGACACAAGAGGACTCTTAAGATCTCAGTGTGAGGAAATGGTAGGTTTTACTCTGAATTGGTGCCTTCAGGATGAAGGAGGATGGCGGGGAGTGCAGTCCTGGCAAACTTAACCTCCCAAATTTTAGGAACCAAGAAACCCAACCTTGATAGATAGAGCAAAGGGAAATTCAGATGCAAAAGTCTGAATCTGTAATTTCAAGTAAACCTGACCAGAGAGAAGGGAAAGGAGGGGAGGGCCGTGGGGAAGGGAGGAAGAGGGAGAAAAAGGGGGATGGGAGTGGTAGGCGAGGGGAGAGAGGAGGAGCTGGGCGGGTATGCAAGGTGGGGAGAAGGAAAATGCAAGGGATCTAAAGAGAGACATGTTGAGCACAGATTTTCAAAGGGCATGTCGAAACATAATAACCAGTAACAAAAATGAGATTCACAAAATCAAAATCAAAGCATCAGGACATGGGAAGAGAAAATGAGCTGCGCTGTGTGTGGGGAACTGCCAAGGGCAACAGACACCTGGGGTAGTCCAAGCTCCTGATCGTAGCCTTCACTCCTGGGGCTCACCGTCCTCCCTCCCCTGAACCACGAACTGCCACCGGCCCCGGGGGCAAGCACCAGTGCTGCAGCCTGACCGACCCAGACCTAAGCCCGGACCCTGAGCGCGGTGTTTCTTTGCATTCACTGTCCTCATCAGCAGAGGGGTGAATCCTCCCACCCCTCAGCCTCCAGAAGGTGGGGAAATGAGATGCGCAGCCTGGTGTGCAGGCGCACAGGTCCCCGCAGAGGGCAGGGGGGCCTTTCTGCCAACACCAGGCTGCCCTCCCACCCTGCTTTCACCTGTATACAGGTGGACACTTCCAAACCGACCTGATGGTATCAGAGCCTAGCATTGGCTAGAACAATTTTGTCTTTTTCAGTCCCACTTATTAGTAAGGAGAAACTACCAGATACTAGCAAAATACACCATTTAGACAAATATAATAGGGACAACGAGCAGTTTCATTTCTTGGTAGTGAGAGGGCATTTATGGTTTTGGGAATTTCAGAAGTGACTGTAAAAATCTTCAGTCTTACTCTCTGTACTATGGCCTCACTCTACAACAAGGCCTCCAAAATATGACTTTAAGATTTATTCAATAAAGACCAACAAGATCAATACAATTAACTCATCACGCAGTATAGTCCAAACCATACTGGGAAGACCAAAGCCCATCTAAAATGTACTAGCAAAGGACCCGTTCAACAACTGACACCCTTCTCCACAAAAAGGCCCAAGAGCAGCTCTGCGAGGCTTCGCACGTTAAACAGGTTCTAAAGGCATTTCATTTGTAGGAATATGGATTGTTTTCTATAAATATGCGCTCCCTCATTCATTCATCAATCCACAGGGCGTTTCCTGAGCCACAGCTTCACACCGGGTACTGCGCATGCACCGGAAGTGAGCTGCAGCTTCACACCAGGTACTGCGCATGCGCCGGAAGTGAGCTGCAGCTTCACACCAGGTACTGCGCATGCGCCGGAAGCGAGCTGCAGCTTCACACCAGTTACTGCGCATGCGCCAGTGAGCCGCACTCGCGGCTTCGTGCCGTGCTGGCGAATACAACGCTACCCCCCAGCTTTAGGAATCAAGTGTGGAAATATGGTAGCCACTTTGGTGCGTATGGATAAGCTCCCTTTCACCCGAAGGAATGAATACTCCTAAAAATATTTAGAAAGATTCCAAGATAGGGTGAGTACAAACATCCCAAGCAACTACTTTTCCATAATGCAGAATCCAACGTGTATTTATTTAATCCATTACCTTACTACTGCTTCTTTTATTAACTTTGAAAAATCCCAGAAATTTTTTCTTCTCTTTATCTGTCTCTTCATTGCCAAGCGATGATTTTCTAAAGGTTTCTGGGGGAGGGGGAAAAAAAAAAGGACTGTTATTATCAGCATATGAAACGAGATTAAACAGCACTCTTTAAAAATCTCAACAAATGAATCCTCCACTCTTAAACTTCCAGTTTTTACAAGACAGTAAAACCACCAACTATGCCTTTCAAAGCATTTCGAGCCACCTCAAAGCCTCCAGTCCCATTTATGAAATCACTGAAGTTCTTATAATAATCTTCAGTGATTTCGGTGGCATTTTTCTCTGAGTGGGACTGAACCCTGTATGTGAATGAGAAAAACAAATAAAAAGTTCTAGGGCAGGACCGTCCGCTAGAAAAATTGAGCCACACATGCAATTTTACATTCTCTAGCAGGTGCAACTTTAGTAATGTGTTCTGTGTAATCCAACATATCTAAAACGTTATCATTCCATCACATAATCGCTAGAAAAATGACGAATGAGAAGTTTTAAATTCGTTTTGGTACTGAGTCTTCAAAATGCAGTGTGCTGGTCACACAGCACAACTCGGTTTGGACTGGCCACACTCCAGGTGCCCATAAGCCACACGTGCTTCACGACTCTCGGGCCGACAGCACAGTCCTAAGGACCGGGACATCTGTGTGAAACGTCTGCTTTAAGAATTGCGAGTGAGGTGAAAACACTAAACAAGATAAATCGACAACTTTCTGGCTTGAAGAGCCCCACTCATGTCCAGACTATGGAACAGCAGCGATCGTTTACCCAGATGGTATCGAAATAATCCCATGAATCACAAGACCTGCATCCAATCACAAGAATCTAGGATTCACGTTTCCAGATTTGTGTTCCTCGACCTCAACCAGAATGTTTTCCTTTTTGATTACATTCTCTAGGGGGCCCGTTTTTCTTTCTTCTATTGTTTCGTTATTCTTGGGCTCCAAGTCTTCGCTCTTCTTTCTTGGTGTTTTCCTCATCAGAAGTTTAGAGCTGGAACGAGCCCCATTGTGTTCCAGATGGGGAACTGCCAAAGGCAACAGACACCTGGGGTAGTTCAAGCTCCTGAGCCACATGGTGATCTTAGCCTTCACTCCTGGGGCTCACCATCCTCCCTCCCCGGAACCACGAACTGCCACTGGCCCCGGGGGCAAGCACAAGTATTGCAGTTTGACTGACCTGGATCTAAGCCCGGCCCCTGAGCATGGTGTTTCTTTGCATTCACTGTCCTCATCAGCAGAGGGTTGAATCCTCCCACCTCTCAGCCTCCGGAAGGTGGGGAAATGAGATGTGATTGGATGCGATTCTTGTGATTCATAGGATTATTTCGATACCACCTGGTAAGCTCGGGTAACCGCCTGGGACCCACGGTGCCCCACCATCTCTGATTGCCATAATTCATTGGCTTGCTGACACTCCAGAGGCCACTCCAGGCTCTTTTCATGAATGGTTCTTCTCTTCCAAGCACACAGAGATGGCAGAGGGGAAACATTTAGGTGTTCCTGAAGGATACAAAAATGAATTTCCCCAGCCCACTGCCAACCACTAGGGAGCCAGATGGTCAATGCACAGGTGGAAAATCTGGACTGGGATTGTACAAGTCAGCTGTGAAAATAGCAACCTAAAATAGGTATACACATCAGTTAATTTCCTTATCCGCTGCCCTAGAATTTCATACTCCAATTAGAGAACACATACGAAAGTCAGGATGTTAGTAATAAATGCATTAACACGAATACTGTCTACCCAACAAAGTAAAACCTTAACACCTCTATTCCTTAAATCACTGTGTAAGTGGCAAAGGCTCAGGTTTTAGTACTGACAGCCAAGGCTCTTGGTTATGTGCAGTGGCCCCAGCTGAGCCACTAGCACCCTCCACATCACACGACATCCAAACCAGTGAGTGGGGCAGCTCCAATCACAAGGCACGTGTCCATGCACGTACACGTATGGAAGTGGATCTCTTGGCTGATCACATTGCGACCCTCCACGTGAAGCACAGAGCTATGGAAATTAATAGAAAGTATACTACAGAGTAAAACTACGTATAGGTAAACAACAGCATGCCTTAATATGTGTATTCATAACTAATCATGTTTTTAGAATTGAGTGATAGGTGAACACAGATGTAGTAAAATGCGTTATATCATAGGGCCCGGCGGGTGAACGAGAGAGACAAAGCGTTACGGGCACATAGGCAACGACACCAACCACAGAAATGACAGACTGATCAGAAAACTGTCACAGAATCGAACCTCTTTTTTTCTCTTCCTGAACAGGGACAGAGGCTGGTCTGGATGCCCAGGGACAGCCCTGGCGCTGGAGGCTGCCTGCAGTGACCCAAGAGGTGTTTTCTTATGTGGCCACAGGTTGTTGGCTCTCTGGAGGCAGTGGGGGCCCCAAGCAGACGGTCTGAGGTATAGGGGCAAGGGAGGGACTGGCGATTTTGTACTGATAGGGGACTTCTATGAGGCCTCTGGGACCCAGCAGACAAGCAGAAGGGTCAGCTTGAGAGCAGAGCAAGAGCACTTGATGTTCCTTGGTGTTCCCATCAGGCAAAGGGGCAGCAGGTGCCTGCCACACATCAGGGTGGTAACTCTTCATGGAAACACAGCCTGGCTGGGAGGACACAAGCATCAGGCCTAGCACCCGTGGTTCCAAACACATGGCAATTTGAGCACGAACCTGATTTTCTTTCGTGTACTAGAAGTTAAATAGCAATCAAAGTGTAGGGGACAACATGCTCCATCTCTAAGAAAGCACATACTCTTTGAAGTATGGATGTGATCTGGAGAATAATATAGATGAGCTGAACAGTGCCAGGGGAGGAAAGGGGCTGTGGGGGGTCCCGAATACCAGTGAATCCAAACCGTTCGCTTTTCCAGAGGAGAAAACAGAAGGTCAGAGCCGTTCAGTGGCCAGAGCATGGTCACAAGCAAGTCAAGGCCAGAGGAGACCCAGGCCTGCATGGGTATCCTTCACATAGGCAAGTTGCTGAGTTCGGGTCCCCAGCAGGAGCCCGGGCACACAGGAGTCTCGACCACCTGTCTCTGCTGCTCTCCGTCTGCCTACAGCCCCAAATCGAACCTATCCAAACTGAAGAAGGCTTCACATGCATGACTTCCCTGCTCAAAACAACTACCACTCATGGTGTTTCTTAAAAGAGAATCTTTCTGTTTGCAATATCCATCTATACGGTGCGATGGGGTCCATAACCAATGAGGGCTATGGTCAGACGCAACATGCACGGCCTGTGGTTCCAGACCAATGTCCACTTCTGTTTCGTTACTATCTTTTATGTAAGAGATAAATACTCATTAATGAACTTTGTGGAGACAGTATGTGTACACGTGGTCCAATAAATTCACATAAATTCCAATATATAATATGCATATGTGTGCACATATATATAAATATATATGTACATACATATATATATATATATATCTGTGTATATATGTAAAGTGTATGATAAATAAGTGTCAGAGTAAATTCAGAAGCTGGACTGATCATCTGTATACTTGTCTATGACAGAAAAGATTACATTTCACAGTCTATACTGCCCAAAAGTCTGCAGCAGACAGAATGGACCTCAAGGGCAGGTGAGCACAGTTAGAAAGGAAAACGGTGTGTCTTCCGCATATGCCACTTCCGCTCGCCCTTAAATTCCGTGTTCCTAAAGGACCCATTTTCTACCCCAACCTCCTTCATTTACTCAGCAATTGGAACTGCACAACAAATCCCCACACGAGGGACATTCTTCTCTCAAGCAACCACGGAGTCAAGAAACCAAACCCAACCTGTCCGTCAGCTGACGAGATGTCCCTAGAAGGGCTGCAAGGCACACCTGCATTCCTTCAGACCCTGCACGCAAACGCCACTTCCATGCATCATCCTAGTCCAGAACCATGCAAAGCCCAGCCAGGCCGGAAGCGGCTCACTGTACCTTGACAGCTCAGGGAAGGCTCCGACTGGGTTTTGGTCAGAAGAACTGGAAGAAGCAGGCAATGAGAGAGTGAGGTCAAGCCCCCAAGCTGCAGCAGCACCTGACCATGGCCACGGCCCCTCCCTGAGCCTCGGAAGGGGGTTGTCCGGGCCCCTGCAGGAGAGGCCAAGGGCCGAGCAGGCTGCATTCCTGGCCCTGGATCTCCTAGAGCCCGTAGCTGCCTGGCTGCTAAGGTGTCCCATGGAAGCAGGTGGCAGCAGAGCCTTCTGCTGTTTCAAGCTGCCACCACCAGGCATTCCAGAGGAGGCGGGTCTCTGCCTAGCGACACATCTCCCCCGGCCATGGTCCTCGTCCCTTGGAGCGGCTGCTTGCTGGGGAGGGGCTGTAATGCAAGAGGGGCCAAAAGGAGAGGGCTCCCTACAGGCATCTTCCGGAATGTTCTCCTTTCTTCTCAAATACTTGACTGCCCGTAGGGATAAGGGAATTTGGCAGGGATGATAATCAAAGGCTTCACAGCTGGCATGGCACATGGCCCAGTATGGTCCAGAGGAAAGGGATGTTGGCCACTGGGCTGGAGCAGGTCACCCGCCATGCTGGCTGTTGTGCCTTTATTTTCCAGGGAGGATGCTGGGAAGGGTCCCCTTTCCCCAGAGGGAAGGATCCCTCGGAGGACGCCCAAGGCAGTGAAGGGCACTCAAGGCTCAGGGCTCAGGTGCTTCCAAATCTGACAGCACCTGTATCCTGCCCTGCATGGGGATGGAAAGAGGGAGCCCTAGACCTATGGAGGTCCCCTCAGCTCTGTGCTCTGGACGATCGTGAGCTTGTTGGGATCCACTCCTGCATGGGACGGCAAGTTTTAGGACTCTTCCCAGGAAAAAGGTTCCACATCTACCTTTCAAGATATATCTGAGAATTGAAAGAGTTGTTTGTGTAAGCCTTTTTTCTTTCACATACTTGAGTAGGACAGTCTTCCTTCCCTCTTTCTTTTTCTTTCTTTCTTTCTTTCTTTCTTTCTTTCTTTCTTTCTTTTTCTTTCTTTCTTTCTTTATTTTTCTTTCTTTTCTTTCTTTCTCTTTCTTTCTCTTTCTTTCTTTCTTTCGCCAAATGAAGGCTGTTTCCAAAGAGGCACAGAAACCTAATTTATATAGGGCTGATAGAACCAGACAGACATACCCGCTATATCCAGGCCCATGTAGCAGATGCTGGGAATAATCTTGTCTGAGTTTTAAAAAGATGCTGCATAAAGCACAAGATGTATTGCTCTCAAATGTCAGAGCACTTTTTTTGAAGGACTAGATAGTCTGTGCATCTTACACGCTATTGAGCTAAAACCCTCTCTTGAATGTCAAATGAGACCAGCGGTCCAGAACCTCTCCAAGACTGGGGGGGAGGAGAGGAGGTTCCACTATGATCACTGATTTTGCAATAAAACTGATAATAAGAGGGGCACCTGGATGGCTCAGTCGGTTAAGTGTCTGCGTGCTCAGCGGGGAGCCTGCTTCTCCCTCTCCCTCTGCCGTCCCCCCCGCCCTGCTGATGCTCACACGCTCTCTCTCTCTGAAATAAATAAATAGAATCTTAAAAAAAAAAAAAAAAAAACTGGTAATAAGAAAAGCAGATTTTCTTGGAAGAATTTGAAACACACAGTAGAAAAACATGAAAAAATGGAATGTGTTTCAACAACCCAACCTACTCAGTATTTGTGGAATAAATAAAAGGCCACCGATATCAAACAAGACTCGTGAAAATAAGGCACTTTTATGAAGTTCATCTTAATAATGCTAAGGTCAAGGAATATTCATTTATTTTTTTCATTCAGTCATTCATTTATTTATTTTGGTCTGATAGCTGTTCCCAAACAGTCCGCCCATTGTGTCAATCAGGGAACTCGGCTCCCACACACATCGGTCTCCTGCCAATACCGACCTCTTGAGCGGCCATCCTCCCCAGCGGCTCTGGGCCCTCAAGTCAAGTACCAAATTCACACGAGGAGTAAGTTGTCTCTGGCATCGATGGTGAGGAAGACCAAGGCAGCATCATGAGCTGTGTTCAGGGACTGATCTCATGAACTCTAATGCGGGCAGTTTTAGAAAAAGAGCTAAATGTGTTTTGCCACTGTTTTTGTGTGTTGCTTTTTTTTTTTTTTAAAAGATTTTATTTATTTATTCATGAGAGACAGAGAGAGAGAGGGAGAGAGAGAGAGAGAAGCAGAGGGAGAAGCAGGCTCCAAAGGAGCAGGGAGCCCGATGCGGGACTCGATCCCAGGACCCCGGGATCATGACTTGAGCCGAAGGCAGACGCTTAACCATCTGAGCCACCCAGGCGCCCTGTTGCTTTTTTTTAATAAAGATTTTATTTCTTTATTTGAGAGAGAGAAAGCATGAGCAGGGGGAGGAGCAGAGGGAGAAGCAGACTCCCCGCTGAGCAGGGAGCCCGACACGGGACTCAATCCCAGGACCCCAAGATCACTACCTGAGCCAAAGGCAGACACTTAACTGACTGAACCACACAGCCGCCCCTTTGCCACTGGTTTTGATGATGAGCAATGTTTGAGACTTGGGGGCAGTTACCAGCAACTGAACAAGAAATCCAAGAGAAGATGGTTCACGTGTTAAAGAGCTACTTCTTTACTTACCTTGCTGAAGCTCACAGGAGATAGGGTGATGCTCAGGATATGCTCAGGACTGGGGGGGGGGAGAGGCACAATTACAACAGAGGGCAATGGGGGCAGAAAATAAACCAAATTTATTTTCTGCCCACTTCAACAGTGCTTTGGACAGCATTTGGGTTGCCTGAAAATTCGGGTACCTGTCTCTACCGGGAACCTCGAGTGCTCATAGGCGGTGGACATCTGCTTCCTGCCTGTGCTCTTATAGGGCAGGTGTCAAAGATGCAAGGTGGCCTCACCTCGTTTGTTGTCCCACGCGTAGAGCTCCTTTATCCCCAGCTCGTTGAGGGACTTGGAAAGTTCCACCTCCTCCCCGGCAATGTTGTCCCTGAGGAGCACCACGTGCTCCGGGCTGACTTCACACTTTGCACAGATGACTGGGAGAATGTTCTGGAGCGGCACCTCGGGGCTCACACGCACGATGGCCTTTTGGGTTCGCAGGTAATTCACTACCAAGCGCACAGATTTCTGGAAGAACACCCGGGATGAAAGAATTCTGTAAATGTGGGCTTCACCCGCTGCTTGTGTGCAGGAACTGAGTACGGCAAGATTTTGTGCAGCCCGAGCCCTTTGTCCAAAACTCAGTGGGTCACGGGGGGAATTGCCATACTGAAAAGTGAACGATAAACACCTGGAATAATAAACTTCCCTTAGAATCTCTCACTAAGGAACAGACTGCTAACAACACAGGAGAATGGACATCGTGAGGGGTCTGGATTTATAATCTAACACCTATGCTGCCTTTCAAGGATCCCAAACAGACCCGACACAAAGCACTTACATAGATTTTGTGAAGGAAAAGAGTTTGAAAGTGGCATGAACAATTCAATTTAAAGAAAAACCCTAAAAAACCCAAGATATTGAAGTTTTAGTTAAATAGCTAAAAGACCCACATAAATATATTAATATCTATGTAAATATATATAGTGTGTATATATGTCTGTGTACATACGTATTTTATATATATATATACACTAGACACATATATTTAAGCTACAGAAATATAACTGACATACAACAGACATATACATGTAATAGACACGTAATGATGGAGATCATAATCAGAAAACAAAACAAGCAGTGTAACTAAACCTGATTCTGAATGTCTACCAATACACTGGCCGTTGGAAAAAAAAAGTAATATGCCACAGTCTCATGCAGTCAAATTTTTCCCGGCCTTTACTGGCACAACATTGTCTGAGAACGCTGGAGAGTAGAGATGGCACCAAATAAAATTTATTAAGCCCCCCAAACCTAAAAGTTGATAGAAGATGAACTGTTGGCCAAATCGCCATTTTTAGAAGCAGAAAAATCTAGTAAAAATTCCCAAGAATCTAAAAGCTTTTAAATGGGGCTAAAAGATCCACAGCAAAGGTTTATGAAGACATACCATAAGCAGCTGGAGTTCATTTTAATCAATAATCAAAAGCCTGAAATACATCTATGTATAAGATATGCTCCAAGTGCAACGAGTAAACATTTCTGACATCAGTTTCTCAAAAGGGAAAACTCCTGTTTTTCCTCTCTCCAGGAAGAAGTTCGAATCTTCCCCCATTTCCCCATGGCTTCCTTGGACAGGAGGACCTCCAGAACAGAAGGAGAATCTCTATAACTAGTTCAACAAGGTATCGGCTGGTGACTTGCGGTTATGTAAAGTTAAATTAATTAACATTAAATACAATCAAAGGCTCAGTTTCTCAGTCACACTAGTTGCATTGCAGCTGCTTAATATTAAGTCTCATGTGGCCAGGGGTGACCGCCTTGGAGAGTGCAGAATGATAGACCATTTCCATCTGTGCAGAAAGTTCCAACGGCTAGCTCTGCTCTAGACAGATTCATCTTCTATAATAGCCAAAGGAACAAAGATACAACCATGAATATTATTAAAGTTGGTTAATTTCCATCTTCTAAAAGAAGCTCAGTTTAGGGCCTAACTTTGCCTAGCAGGGAAGTAAAAATTTTAATAGCTGTCTGCATGTGTTGCTCAGATAAGATGGGCTCCACCAGCCCCCTTCCTCAGCACCTTGGCCACGGGTGTCTGCATATGCCCTCAGATAACAAAGTATCCCCCACCCCCGACCCGCCCCGGCCCCCGTCCTACTGACCTCAGGTGCCTTGGGTGGGGCAGGCTTCACCTTCTCTTCGGGAACTTTCTCTTTGAGAAATACAGTGTGCACATTCAGGGTCCCAACTAAAGTATTTGGCTTAAAACTCAAAGGCTGCTGGGTTTCTGAAGACCGGATCTCGAGGGCATGGTGGGACGGATTTAGGTGGTTCTGAAGACAAAGTTCAACCAGTAGGTCCATCATTGCATGGCTGAAAAAGGGAAACAGATCACATTAATTAGGAATGTTTTTGCACTCTCCCTTCGGTTAAGCTGAGTAAGGGTCAAACCCACGCACCAGTAGGTGAATGAGCAAATTGGTCGTGTGTATGTGGTCATGCAATCACAGCTCATGAATTCCTGGCTCATGACTGGACAGCGTTTCCTAACATTTCCAACACTAGTAAACAACATGCCTGAAAGAGCAACCACCAGAGCTGGGAAAAGAGTTATATTTGTATTAAGTCCATGGATATGTTGACTTGAATCCTACAAGGTTAATTAGCACAAGTTATATTAATAAAGACTAAATTTTCAGTGGTTCATAAATATAATGTCTCTTAAAAACTGACAAATTTTAAAAGGTTTTATTTATTTATTTGAGAGAGAGAGAGAAAGTGCAGGGGAGAGAGGTAGAAGGAGAGGGAGTCCCAAGGAGACTCCATGTTAAGCACAGAGCCCAACTTGGGGCTTGATCTCATGACCCTGAGATCATGACCTGAGCTGAAACCAAGAGTCGGTCACTCAACCAACTAAGCCACCCAGGTGCTCCCAACCTGAAAATTTTAAGTTGAAGGTGATAGCTAAAAAAAATTTATGCCTTTTTAAAGACAAAAAAAAAAAACAAAAAACAAAACCCTAAGAAAATGACCTTGTTTGAATGTCAAAAACTGTCATCATGTCCCCCACCACAGGGAATTGTTTACCAAGGGAGGAGAGTTAACAATTCAAATTACTCCAAAGAATTTCCTTTGCCTCTTTTATATCTGCCTGGCAGAATGTTTTTATATTTAAAGCTGATCTCTCTTTCCCTAAATTTCCCAAGCAATAGAGAATATGCCTCCATGAAAGCATAGGTCTTTCCTGTGACCTATTTCTTAATCAGTAACTGACATGGCAATTATTTCTGGCCATAATTATGCTTTCCAGGTGTCTGGGGGTCCGGGGGTGCGGACTGCAGACTCGCAGTGCTTCTGTAAACACACAGGTGCCCGGCTTGCCCTGATGCAGCCCGGCACCTGTCACTCACCCCGAGGGCTGTGGGCTGCTGGAGACCCTGGATCCAGACAGGAGAACCACAGGCAAAGCCCCAAGCCAAAGTGAGTCCCTTCAAAGTGCCCTACTTCTTATTCAACTGCTACAACTGAAAATTAATCATAATGCTTGGATTGACACAGATTTTATTTATTTATTTATTTGAGAGAGAGAGACAGACAGACAGCAAGAGAGAGTGAGAGAGGGCACAAGTGGGAGGGAGAAGCAGGCTTTCCACTGAGCAGGGAGTCTGATGTGGGACTTGATCCCGGGACCCTGAGATCATGACCCGAGCCGAAGGCAGACGCTTAACCAACTGAGCCACCCAGGCGCCCCTTGGATTGATACAAAACAACTCAGCATTTCTCCTGGGTCCCTGGACTCTGATGGGGCATTTGTGGGGCCAAGGCGGTGCGCGTGCTCACAAGTGCCCCAGTGCACACGGCCACACTGGCTAATAACACTGTAAATACTGTAAACTCTGATTCCTTCAGCTCCGGGGTAAAAGTCCTCTTTATTCCAACCACAAGCTTGATGCAACGCAACAAGAAGGCTCCAAGGCATGATGACATTCCACTGAGAAGCCTCAGTACAGAAAACAGACTTCTAACAATGCTCAAATGAGGTCCTATTATTTGTTACCGCTCCCTGTGTATCCATGATGCCACTCACGTGCTCCCCTTCCTTGTCACCCAGTCTCAGAGGTGAGGTGTCCAGGAAAAGGCAGAGCGAGCTTGGGACCCTGGTCCATCTGATGCTCGCTCCTTTCCCACAAATAAACTGTCAAAATTTGAGTCAGTCTTAGAATGTAAATCACAAAGAACACAAAAGCTACTAATGTTACTTTCTGGTTTTTGAACCCACTAATCAGTAACATGTTTGAAACATTGAATTAGATGCTCTGAAAAGGAGCAGTCAGCTCTGGAGCAGGATGTATTTTTCTCCATCACTGAGAATAAACCCATCCTGCTTTCATCGAAGCCAGTACTGATTGAATGTGCTAGCACAGTGATGTACCCATTTTCTGGCTGAATAAATAATGGGCCGCCCAAATCTCTGCCTTGTGTGTCTGGTGGATTTCCCCCCCGATCGCCTGATCCATTCTGGCTTTCAATAGTTCATTTAATGCAGGATGAGTTTCTTCCAGTGACATTCTCAACACTTGGAAATGGAAGCAGTTTCTCAACAAAATGTTTGAGGGGGAGAAGAAGGAAAAGTTCCCAAGCAGAAAATTCTATGTGCTGGGGAACTATCTCCACAAATTTACTATTAAATTTGGGGGAGGAGAAGGCAAAAAAGAAAAAAAAAAAAACAGAAACAAAAAACACTAATATAAGAGCATGATCATAAAACCCAACACCAGATGCCCAGCCCGGCCATCATATGTGCTTAAACGGTATGAAGAACACAAAGTCTCTTATCGATTCAACTTAGACAAGCAAATCGGACACCATCCTTTCCCAGTGGAAGAACCCAAGCTAGGGCAGAGGGGTTCCCACAGGGAAGTAAGGAAGTTTTGGGGTGAGAGGAGCTCAGGTTTTGATAGCTGTCTTGCTCTCCTTCGGGTCGTCTGCATCTGTGACTCCCAGAGGGATGAGGCATCCTGATGAGGACCAAAGTTGGGTTGCACTTGAGAAGCTCGATATGCACCAGTCCAAACATGAGGACCTGGGTCCAAAAGCATGAGCTCATCTTGCAACGCTTCCTGCAGGGTCGGCCACTTTGTGTGACCCTGCCCCAGGCTCATTTAAAACATGACCCAATTTACTACTTTTCCACTGCACGCTGCTTTTAAGGATCACGTCCATGCAAAATGAGGTGGGGGGAGGGGGGTTAGACTTTCTGCCACTTTTCACCCCACCGGTGAATCTGCTATTGGCTGGCATTTAAAATACTAAATTCCCAAGAGTATGCCAGTTCTTCCAAAACATCTTTGATGCCACTGGAAAAATCTACCCAGAAAGAGAGGAAAGGCAAAGCATAATGGCAGCACCCAAGGATGGACAGAGGCACGGCCTGGTCCCTGTGGGCTTCCTGTATGGATGTGTAGAGCGCAGCCTGCAGAGGTCAGTAGTGTCTCTAACGGGGTGTCAGTGTGCACCCTCCGCAGGGTCTCAGTGGGTCCCTATGCCACTGGGCCACAGGAAAGAACTTTCCAGAAGACTGGAAGAGGTTGCCTACTTACTCGTACACATTCTCATCACCTCCTGAGCCTGACAGTTCCTCACCTCGCACCTGCCCTTGGATGCAGTGGCACCTGCCTCGGATCAGCAGCTCTGCACACACCAGCTCTGTGAGGTGTGGGCATCCTTCCCATATCAACAGGGCGGTTCAGTGAAGGCACCTGAGGGGAGCTGCCTGGGATGGAGTCCGAGCACCACCATTTACCGATTCTCAGACCTGCCTCCCTGTGCCTCAGTTTCCTTACTGGTGAGGGCATACAGACAATGTCCACCTGTTAGAGACTTAAATGAATGAACACTTGCGAGGTAGTGAGCACAGCGCCAGGCATGTGGTAAGTGTGATGAGTTTGCGAAATACATGAGTTCATTCGTTCCTGTCTTTTCTGTTTGGGGATTCTGTGTGGTGAGATGTTTTACGTGGCTCAGAGCAGAGCATCTCCTGTCTGTATGTGGCTAAACTCCACCCTGCTCTCAGCAAATACCGAGATATCCCAACACTCGAAGTAGCATCCTTGAGACTGCACCATCAAATTCCCCCAATCTTACAAAGAAGGAAAACAAGGCAACTAGACACCCTCCGAATGTCAAAAGAAGAATCAGGTGTATTAAGAAAGTTGACTAAACCATCACTGCTAAGAATCCAAAGCACATCCCCTGGACCTCGGTGGACACCCAGCATTAACACCGCTATGAACAGAACTGTGTCCTCCTCAAAGTCATGGTGAATCCCTAACCCCCGTGTGGCTGTATTTGGAGATGGGGCCTCTAAGAATGTAATTATGGTTACATGAGGTCATAAGGGTGGCACTGATAGGACAGGATTAGTGTCCTTACAAGAAGAGACCCAGAGAGCTTATTCTGTGCACCCACAAAGAGGAGATCAAATGAGCAGACGGAGCAATGATGGCTGCCTATGAGCCAGGAAGACGCCTCAGAAGGAAATCTACCCACTGGCACCTTGATCTTGGGCTTCCAGCCTCCGCAGCTGTGAGGAAACATGTCCTTTGTGGAAGCCCCCAGTCTGTGGTATTTTAAGGCAGCCTGAATAAGACAAAAACAAACACCATTTGCAGTCTCTCTCTCTCTGATCCCAAGTAATAAAGAGGACTGGCCACTCAAAACCACGTTGGTAGCGGTCGAGGAGGGTCATGAGGCGGATCTCTGGGGCTTTCTCTCCCAATTTCTCCTCAACATCCTTTCCCCCCCCAACCTCTTCAATCTGCTGTTCCCCAAAATGCCTCTTAAGTGCTCAGAATGTAGGAGTGAAATTTATTTCCTGGTGTTTGTGGTGATCTCTATTTTTAAGCTTAAAAGTATTTAAATTTTTTTCTACGTCTTTTTTTTTTTTTAGAATTTTGGTAATATATTTTATTTACCCAATATACATCTTTCTTTAAAAAAAACAAAACTATTACTGCCCAAATGTTTATAGACTTCATGAAACATTTTGGCAGGAGTCTGTGGCTTTGATAAGAAAAAGCTGATGTTCTTTCCCATGCGGTTCTTTCTGAAATCCTGGCAGAGAGCCAGGCAGAGTGATGGTCAGCCTGTGCCCATACCCCTGCTCCAAATGCAGAGGCACTCGGGACCCGAGGACATGAGCAGGCTCTTGGGGACCACATGGCTGGGACAGGGAAGTCAGGGAGGCCGTGTCCTATTTCCGTCAAGCTGGGCCAGGTGACGAGTCGCCCCTCTCTGGGACGCACTTCTAGCTAAACTGCAAAGCCTTCCTGTGGTCAGGCTGTGGAGGATCATTCTTGAGCTGCATCCACTAT